CTAAGGCCCTCTTCATGCTGTATCCAGGTGCACAGTCTCCGAGGCTATTTCCAGACCATCTTAAATAAAATCTACTGATCAATACACCTCAAAGAAGTAAAGAGAGCCCATTAGCCTTCTGTTCACCTATTCATGGAACAAACAAACAAAACAACATGGCAAACCTGCACACTCTACCTAGACAAAACACAATCCAGTCACCAATTAAACTTTCAAATTTGAGAAAAAAACCACATGCACAAAAATGAAAGTCCAAGATAAACAAGGAAAATTAACCCCAGAGGAAGTAACGTAATTCAAGAAATTGAAGATTTAAATGTCTATATAGTCCTCCCTTTCCAGATTATGATTTTTCTAAATGCTCACTCTTGTCACTTTGTGTGTTATTATCAATATGTTATGTTGTATTGCCAAGTGCTATCAACTCTGAGAGGTAGGTATAAAAAGCTTTCCAAACTTCCATTTAGAGTATGTCTAGGGGTAAACGAATTACAGAAACAAAATTTCCTCTTTAAAGGGCATCCTACAGCTTAAATTTTAAAAAAAGATTTATTTATTTATGCATACAAGAACTGGGGTACAAGCCAGAGTTGTGGGAGGTGAGAGGATTCACCAGAGACAGAGTAGGGAGCAGAACAGACAGATTGACTGAAAGACACTGCTGAGTGGAGCAGCGGGCGAGACAAGAGAGGTCTGCTGTGCCATGTAGGTAGCTCTTTGGCCGGGGATCGAATTCATGTAGCAGTGGCTGCGGACAGCTTCATAGGCTGTGTGTCAACCCCTTGTGCCACTAGGGAGGCCCCTACAGCTTAAATATTTAACACAGAGATGCACATTTTAGAGTAGTGATTCTAAGAAAACAGCTAAAACTTGCTCTCTCTGTAGAAACATTAGTTTCTATCTGTTAAATGACAATCTCCTTAACAGATGGGAGAATTGGGAGAGCAGTCAGTGCGGTGATACCCTAACACCAAAAAGCTTTCAGAAAACATCATGCTAAGTGATGGAATGTCAAAAACAAAAGATCATCTATTGCATGATCCCTTTTATGTAAAATGTTGAGAATAGTCAAATCTATAGAGACAGAAAGACTGGGGGTAGTGTGGAGGTAGGAGAGAAAGGGGAGTGATTGCTAATAGCAGGAGTTTCTTTGGTGGATGATAAAAATGTTCTGGAATTAGAAAGCAGTGCTAATTGCACAATTCTGTGAATATCCTAAAAAGCTGTACATTTAAGAGTGAATTTTACAGTAGATGAATCATATTTAAATAAAGCTATTATGTACAAAAAAAAAAGAATTTTCAGAGAAAAAATGTTTTCAGAAATGTTTGGCAAAGCTTAATAGGAAAATCTCATTAATCACTTTCACAGATGACTGACCTAGCTTAGATAAAAGCTTATGCCAGGACTTGCTCTAATTTAAATAAGCAAGAAATCTTTCTGGAAATTCTGAATAAAGCATTCAAATGGTGACAAACTATTGAGCTTCCCAAAGATTTTGTTCTTATTTTCTTAATAATTTTCTTCATTAAAATAGTTTTCCTTAACTTAACTGTAAATACTTGACTTAAAAATAATTTTATGTTTCTTGGAAAAGAATTTATCTCAGAATAGTCACATGCTGAGTTCATTCATTTATACCCAACGAGCATTCCTAGGATATTTCTCATATGTTGAGTCTTCTTGTGGTATTTATGCATTTTATTTTCCATAAAGATTTTTTTAAGTTATCAAACCTTTAAATAATAAAGTTAAAGGAGCACACTGAACAGTTGACAAAATATAGTTTAAAGTTACATATTATAAAGAAACTTTAGCAAAATAAGGTATATTGTTCCTCATGGCAGGAAGAAAAATGCAGTCACTAGCAATTCTATTCCTGACAAACCATCTAGGACATAAGTGTGTACAGAACAGTAAAAGAAAAAGCATTTGACAAAATACAGCATTCTTAAAAACTCTCAACAGATTCGGCACGGAAGAAATAGACCTCACATACTAAAAGACAAATATGACAAACCCACAGATAACATCATGTGGTAAAGGCTGCAAACTTTTCCTCTAACATCAGGAACAAGACCAGGATGCCTACTCTCACCATTCCTCCAACACAGTACTGGAAGGCCTATCCAGAGCAGTTAGGCAAGAAAAAGAAAAGGCAGCTAAATTGGAAAGAAAGAAGTAAAATCATTTCTATTTGCACATTATATGCAAATATATATAGAAAATCCTAAAGGGCCTCCTCATTGGCGAGGCAGTTAAGTGCTGGGTTGTAAAGCTGCCCGCAGCCTCTGCAGCGCCACTTCGATCCCTGGTCCTCAGGCGAGGGTCCCACATGGCACGCAGACCTCTCCTGATGCCCGCTGCTCCCCTCAGCAGTGTACTTCGTCCGTCTGCCTGTTCTACTCCCTACTCTGGCTCTGGTGAATTCTCTCACCCTGCCGTGTTTCTGACTGTACCCAGTGCTTGTATAAAAGAATAAATAAATCTTAAAAAAAAAAAAAAAGAAAATCCTAGAAACTACATCAAAGAAATGCAAGAAGTAATTTCAACAAAGTTGCAGGATTACAAAATCTAAGATACAAAAATCAGTAGCATTTCTATATACTAGCAGCAAATTATCATAAAGAGAAATTAAGAAACAGTCCCATCACCACAGTTCCCAGTGATGGTACACCAGTGCATTGGTGAAGGAAATTCTATGGGGACTACACCTGGGAGGGAAGTGGGGGGGAAGCAAGCATTGTTTAAAAATGAACAATGATGTAAAAAATAAATAATTGAAAAAAATTGAAAAAAACAGACAAAGCAAAAAAAAATTCCATGTTCAACTATCAGAAGAATTAATATTGCTAAAATGCACATACTACATAGAGCCATCTATAGAATCACTGAAATTCCTACCAAAATTCCAATAGTATTTTTCACAGAAATAGAAAACCAATCCTAAAATCTATATGGAACCACACAAGACCACAAATAGTGAAGGCAATCTGGAGAAAGAACAAAACTAGAAGCATCACATTTCCTGATTTCAAACTATATTACAAAGATACAGTAATCACAGCATGGTACTGGCATAAAAATAGGTAAATAGACTAATGGAATAGAATTGAGAGTATAGAAATAAACCCTAGCATATAAGGTAATAACAATAAATATTTGGTAAGGAAACTAAGAATATTCAATGGGGAAAGGATAGCCTCTTCAATAAACAGTGGTGGGAAAACTGAATAATCACATACAGAAAAATGAAATTGGAGCCCTATATTATGCCTCTCACAAAAATTAATTCCAAATGGATTAAAAATGTAAACATGCCACCAGAATCATTAAATTCCTAGAACACACAGGGAAAAGCTCCTTGACATTAGTCTTGACAGTAATTTGTGACACAAAGTTACAAACAGCAAAAGCAAAAATAAACACAAAAGCATCTGAACAGCAAAAGAAACATCAACACAATGATATGGCAACCTGTAGAATGGGAGAAAATATTTGCAAACCATTTATCTGATAAGGTGTTAATATACAAAATATATAAGGAATCCCTATATCTTAACAGCAAAAAATATTTTCAAAAAAATATAAACAACTAACAGGTATATTAAAAAAGGTGCATCAACATCACTAATCATTAGGGAAATGCAAATTAAAACCACAATACAGTATCAACTCTAATATGTTAAAATGGCTGTTATCAAAAACAATAACAAATGCTGTTGAGACCTTGGAGAAAAGGGCAGCCTTGTGCATTATTGTTGGGAATGTAAATTGGTAGAGTCACTATAGAAAACAATATGGAGGTCCCTCAAAAATTAAAACTAGAAATACCATATAATCCAGCAATTCCACTTTGGGGTATATATCCAAAGAAAATAAAATCACCATCATGATTATCATCATGTTCTCAAGAGACATGCACACAAACAGTAATTATGTGAGGTGATGAAGACATAAACTAACATTATTGTGGCAGTTTCACAATATGTTTAGTAAATAATTATAAAGATGAACATACTGCATACATTCTCTCTGATACAATATTTAAATTTCAGTAGAAGGCAAGTTATCCATAAATTTGTAGTTCAGAGATCCCCTTTTATATCTAGCCTTTTTTCCCCCTGCCTATATAGTTATATACCATATATTACTTGTCATACATGCTTTTCTTTTTCTTATATTACAAGGTTATAATCATATTCTCCATCATACTCTTCATTTAACATATGTCCCAATGTCATTAAAAATGACACACATTATAGAAATATGGCACACAGTGTTTTAAATTAAGGATATACCAAATTTGGAAATATTATATTTCCAGCTTTTCATTATTATTATGCCACAGTGAATAATTTTATATATAAATGTTTAAATCTGATCACTTCCTTGGGGAAAATATCTAGAAGTATGATTTCTGAAGTAAAGAACTTGAATACTTTTAAGACTCTTCATATAAGGTGCTTGCCATTAAAATAGTTAAATGTGGGCCTCCCTGGTGGTGCAAGGGGTTGTGATGCAGCCTATTTTGCTATCTGAAGCCACTGCAGCATGAGTTCGATCCCTGGCCAGGGAAGTGACCCACATGCGCAACAGACCTCCTGACTTGCCTGCTGCTCCCCTCCGCAGTTTATTTCAGTTGATCTGCCTGTCCTGTTCCCTGCTCTGTCTCTGGTGAATCCTCTCACCCCCCACAGCTCTGTACCCCAGTTCTTGTATGTATAAATAAATCCTTAAAAATAAAATAAAATAGTTAAATGCTTCACGCATAATCCACATTTTATGAAAATGCCCACCTAAAGTATGTGTGTACATGTTCACCTCTCTAAAGCTCCTGTGGGAATTTATATTCACATTATATTAAACTTTGTACTTGGTATCTACCACATAGTAAATGCTAAATCAATGGCTACTGAACTGAATTCTAGCATAATGGCAAAATTTATTGAACAGCTGAAAAAGAACAAGGAACCCTCAGAAGAACATACGCATCCTACCTCTGCTGCTGAAGCAAAGGAGTCAGTTGATGCGATGCTCAAAGTGTCTCGTAGGCCAAAGTCATCCACATTCCCCTTCGTGGTGATATCTGTATCTTTATCTTAAAAGCAAAAGATGAAAAGTTTACAAATTGGTATTCCTTAGCCCTGCCATATCTCTCATTCTATAGTTGGTTTCTCTTTGTTAAATTTTAGTCTTTATTTACACCATAGGAATTTAATAGAAAAACAATACAAATCAATGAAATAATCTGACAAGACTATCAAAGCAGATTCATTGCCTGATAATGAAACAATGTCAAGCAGAGGAGAAAGTGCTAGAAAAAAGATACTCATTTTTACGTTAAAAAAAGAATAAACTGGGCCTCCCTGGTGGCGCAAGGGGTTAAGCGCTGCACTGTGAAGCAGTCTGCAGCCTCTGCAGCATGAGTTCGATCCCCAGCCGGCCAGGGAGAAACCCACATGGCGCAGCTGACCTCTTCTGGCTCGCCCACTGCTCCCCTCAGCAGTATATTTCAGTAAGTCTGCCTGTTCTGTTCCCTACTCTGTCTTTGGTGGATCCTCTCACTCCCTGCATCTCTGGCCTGTACCCCAGCTCTTGTATGTATAAATAAATAAACCTTAAATAAAGTTTAAAAAAAGAATTAAACTTAATTTCAGGTTAATAAAGTTTTTGAGTATATAATAAATTGGTATTTAATAACTGAAACTGGATTATCTACCAAATCAGGTAAAATCAGCACACACAAAAAATAGTTTGAAACAGAGCAATTTAGTTTGCCAGTGGTCTTACTCAAATTGGAAAAGCTAAATTTAATGCAAATTAAATAAATTATTAACACAAAATGTTGTCTGCTGAGTCACCTGTGATAGGTAGATCAATTAAAATAAGTAAATAAGATGTCTCTGAGTTCTTAAGTTTTTAAGGCTTATTTTAATACTGAAAGATCAAAAATGATCAGATTTGGGTTCTTGATATTTACTTTGTTCACTTGAGGGTCAAATATAACTGCTACATTGATCTTAAATCTGGCTACTCCATTAATAATACAAAGCATACAGAATGTGGGTGTCAGTATCTTCACATATTATTATGAGGAATCCTGTTAATATTAAATTTCCAAATAAATACTATAATTGCTTGCTGATGTGACTACAGTATAGCAAACAACTGACATGCTTCAAATTTTATCACAAGTATATGAAGAAGCAAAGAACAATGTGTGTATATATATTTCTTTGATTCTCAAGCTGCTCAATTTGTCAGATATTTAATCTTCTTTAGAAAGAAACCAGAAATCTCCTTGGGTTTCATTCATCTAAATTTCTATTTCATCATAAAGTTCATTACTTTTACCAGAAGTTTTCCAAGTCCTGCTTAAAACCCCCACGTACCAGAAAATACAAATGTTTTATGACTATACAGGAAATGTAGAACTTTTGAAAAATCCCAACCATTAATTTAAACTCAAAAGTTTTGCAACCAATTTATTTTCCAAGCTCTAACCCAAGCAGAGAGAGAGTAAGCTTTAATTGGTACAAGGTTCTTTCCTACTAAGTATCAAAAATCATCATACACATAGCATTTTTTCCCTAACTTATATTTGGTGGGACCATATTTGACATTTTGACTATTTATTTTCCAAGATTAAATTATGACTACTAATGTACAAAATCTGAAGTTAAGTTACTCTATTTTCAAATAATTGCATGTTCTTTTAGAAATTATAATTTTTTCATCAAACAGAGAACAAAACAACCTAATTTTTTACATTTCTAAAACAGCTATAAAACTGACACTTTCAGATACCAATTATAAAGAAAAATTCTCATTATTCTGTTTTTAGTGCATAAGTGATTTTTAATGATACACACACACTTTCAGAAATTAAATACTTACAAAATTTTATTGGCATTTATAACCCTCAAACCTTTATCTGCTTAATTATTTTTCATTGTTAGTATTAATTGTGCAAAATGAAATCACAATAAAATTTTTATTACACCAAAGCACTTTTAAAGCAGGATTAAGTTACAAGTCAATTAAGTTAAATCTTGGTTCCATATGCCTTTTTGCTATTTTCAGAGTGGAACACAGACATTTATCTTATGTCACTTTACCTTTCAGACATTACCCATGAGCTGTTAAAAGTCTGTTTTACTTCACTCAACAGTAACCAGCCATTCAATGTCATCCAGATCAGTTACCATGGTTGTACTTTATTTAAAAAAAAAAAAAAATCTAACAAAGAAAAATGGCTCAGAGGAACTGGAAAGATTTATTCATTAAATCCAACTTTGTAAACCACAGACCATGTAACTCTCATTTCAGTAATTGTTATGATTCCTGAATGCCAGCTTAATAATTATGAAGAGAAATAATACATCTGTTTTTTAGATAAGTTAATAAAGAGTATAAAGAAAAAATATTAGGCAATATCTCAAAATGAGTGCTTGCATGAATCCAATTAAAATTTAAAATACCCTTTCTAAAAAATATCATCAACTCAAATGCGGTACTGGAAGTCAGAAACAGCAGAGAAAACTGAAAAACAAATATTTCCAGAAACCTCTTACCAAATTTTCCTTAGCAAGAAAAAAAATTAAAACCACAATGCGATATCATTACACATCCACAAGAATAATCAATTAAATTGGAAAAAAAAGGACAATTTTTTTGTTAAGAGTGTACAGCAACAGAAACTCACATACACCACTGGTGGAAATGTCAATTAGTACAAACATTTTGGAAAGTTTGGCTCTGAAAGTTTGAGACTGCATTCTCTGTGACAGAGTAATTCTATCCTTAGGCGTGTTTCACAGAAACACATGCTTATATGCATAAGAATATTTATAACGGCATCACTTATAATAGCTCCAAAATGGAAAAGAGAAGTCCATCTGCCATAGAATGCACAAACTGTGGTACAGTCATACAATGAAATACTATACAATAAAAGCAAATGAATTGCTTCTACATGGTAAACCTCACAGTACACTGACTGAAGAATTATATGTGTTATTCACATAAAATTTAAAACCAGGAAAAACTAAACTACAATGATCAAGACTATACACTTAGAAGAAAGCCAGGAAGTAGTTAACACAAACATCAGGACAGTAATTGGTTTAGGAGGGTAGGTGGGAGGGATATTATTTGAGAGTAAAAAATATAAAAATATTATTAATATATAATACATTAAATATATGTTAATATATAATGTAAATATATTAATATATTGTATATAAAATAGATTCTATATTAATATATAATACACATATATTATATTTATATCATAGATATAATAATATTTATGCAAGGGGACTTACTAGGGATTTGGCAGTGTTTGTTTTTTTTAATCTACACGACAGTTGCACAAGAGGGTATAATAAATCATTGTTCATTTTAGTTTTATGTACTTTCCTCAAAGGATTTAAACAGAAGGAAAGAAAACAATATATTTCTACATTTTGGCCCCAAAGAGCTGAAAGCAGAAAAGACAATGAAATGTTTTATATTTCAATGTTGGTAGTAAAGCTGTCAATTATTATTAGACATGAATTTTATTCCCTGATAGAAGCATTATAATGTTGCTAGGTTCAAAATGTCAAAAGATCTGATGAGTCTGTTAAGTATAATAGCAAATAAAAAATAATCTGTACACTATAGAAGACCAGTAGCAGTACAACTCATAAATTACAACCTTTTTTCTGCTAGTTCATTAATCTGCTGACTATTTTGAATTAGTATTTAAAATGGGACTATCGAGGCATAATCAAGTATTTGCAGGAAAAAGAAACGGAAACTAAGATATGCTTGCTATTTAATAACAGCAGTAAAAGTGTGACAAAATATAAACATTTGTTTTGCACTTACTACTTTCTAAAAACCAAACTTTACATATATATAATTTCATAATTCTCACAATAACACTTTTGAAGTAGGTACTGTCATTTTTTCATTTTATAGACCAAGAAGCCAAGATACAGACAGGTTAAATATCTGGGTCATATTCACATAGTTAAGAAATGTAATGGAAGGATTTTAACTCAGGTCATCTGACATCAGATTCCAACCTATGAAACTGTGGAGCTATGGTATTCAGTATGATAGCCACTAGTCACATATGTCTATGGAGTACATTAAATATCAGACTGAGATATGCTGTATGTGTAAGATACATAATGGATTTTGAAAACTTCATACCAAAAAACATGTAATATCTTAATATATACTGGGCTTAAGAATATATAATAGGCCTCCCTGGTGGTGCAAGGGGTTAAGACACAACCTATGAAACTATCCACAGTCACTGCAGCACGAGGTCGATCCCCAGGCCGGCCAGGGAGCAACCCACATGGCACAGAAGACCTCTCCTGACTCACCCGCTGTTCTCAGCAGTGTACTTCGGTCAACCTGCCTGTTCTGTTCCCCACTCTGTCTCTGGTGAATTCTCTCACCCCCCCACACCTCTGGCCTGTATCCCAGCTCTTATATGCATAAATAAATAAATCTTTAAAAACAATAATATATATTATTAAAGTTTACTTTTTTTTTTTTAACTTTTCCATGTGACTACTGGAAAATTCAGTTACATTTGTGATTCACATTATTTTCTACTGGACAGTGTTGTAAAGATCATTCCTTTCCCATCTTATCTATAGTGCTAAGGGTTTATTTTATTTTACTTTTTTCCCCAAAGGTTTATTTATTTATGCATACAAGAGCTAGGGTGAGGGGATTCAACAGAGACAGAGCGGGGAACAGAATAGGCAGATGTACTGAAATACACTGCTGAGGGGAGCAGTGGGCAAGACAGGAGAGGTCTGCTATGCTATGTGGGTTGCTACCTGGCCTGGCTGGGGATCGAACTCAGTGCTGCAGTGGCTGTGGATAGCTTCACAGGTTGCGTCTTAACCCCTTGTGCCACCAGGAAGGCCCTTATAATGCTAAGGGTTTAACAGTTCTTCAGGGGATTCAGATTCAGTTCACATTTTTTAAGAGGCTACTATGTGCCCAAAGCATTCTGCTAAGTTTATCACAAACTATTTAATTTAATATATGTAACTGCCAGAGAGGAATAGTCTTTATCTAGAATGC